CACTAACCAAGAAAAACAGAGAGGACTCAAATCAACATAATTACAAATGAAAGAGGAGATATTATAACTGATACCACAGAAAAATAAAGAAACATTAGAAGCTACTATGCACAACTATACACCAATAAGCTGGACAACTGAGAATAGAAAAATTCTTAGAAACACACAACCTACCAAGAATAAATTAGGATAAAATAGGAAATGGGAACAGATCAGTTACTAGTAAGGAGAATGAATCAGTAAAAATAATTTTAAAAAATCAACAAAGGAAAGCCCAAGACCAGATGGCTTCCCTTGTGAATTTTACTGAACATTTAAATAAGAATTAACACCAATCCTTCCCAAACTCTTCCAAAAAATCAGGGGAAGGAACACTCCCAAACTCATTTTATGAGGAAACCATTACCCTGAAAAGGACATTACAAGAAAACTACAGGTCGACATCTCTGATGAATACACATGAAAAAAAGTCTCAATAAAATACTAGCAAACTGAATTGATCAGCACATTAAAAGAATCTTCACCAACATCGAGTGGCATTCATCCCTGAATGCAAGGATGGTTCAACATACAGAAATCAATAAATGTACACATCACATTAATAAAACGAAGGGGGAAATTCGCATGATCATCTCAACAGATGCAGAAAAAGCATTTACAAAACAACATCCATTCATGATAAAACCTCTTAACAAATTACGTATAAAAGAAACATATCTCAACATAATGAATATCATATATGACAAGATCATAGCTAAAATCATACTTAAAGATGAAAAGCTTTTCTTCTAAGATCAAGAAAAAGTTAAGGTCGCTCACGCCCACCACTCCTATGTAAAATACTACTAGAAGTCTTAGTCAGAGCAATCAGGCAAGAATAAGAAATGTGTCAGAATTGGAAAGAAAAAAGTAAAACTGTCTCTATTTGCAGATAATCTTTATACATAAAGAATCCTAAACACTCTACTCAAAACTGATAGAGTTAATCAATGGATTCAGTAAAGCTGCAGGATACAAAATTAACATGTAAAATCAGTGGCATATCTGTACAGTAACAATGAATTATCTGAATAAGAAGTTAAAAAAATCTCATTTAAAACAGCATCAAAAACAATAAGATACTTAAGCATGAATTTAATCAAGAGTTAAAGATCTCTATACTAAAAACTACAAGACATCGATGAAAGAAATTGAAATAGACATAAATAAATGAAAAGGTATCCTGTGTTCATGGGTTGGAAGAATTAATATTGTTAAAATGTTGACACTACCCAAAGCCATATACAAATTTAATGCAATCCATATTAAGATTCCAATGGCATTTTTTACAGAAGTAGAAAAAGCCATCCTAAACTTTATATTTAACAACAAAGGACCCTGGATAGCCAAATCCATCTCAAGAAAGAACAAAACAGGAGGCATTGCACTTCCTGATTTTAAGCTATATTATAAAGCCATAGTAATAAAAACAGAATAGAAAAAGAAAAAAAAAAGACACACAGACCAATGAACAGAATCGAGAGCTCAGAAATAAACCTCTGCATATATGGTCAACTAATATTTGACAAGGACGCTAAGAATATGCAATGGAGAAAACACAGTCTCTTCAAAAAATGGTGCTGGTAAAATGTGATATTTGCATGTAAAAGAATAAAACTAGACCTCTATCTCATTCACGAAAATTAACTAAAAATGGATCAAGACTTACAAAGACCAGAAACCATAAAACTTGGCTTTTTGACATGGTTCTTGGCGATGATTTTTTTAGATATGACACCTAAAGCAACAAAACAAAAAATAAACAAGTGGGACTATGCCGCCTTAAAAATTTCTGCACAGCAAAAGAAACAATCAACAAAAATGAAAAGACAACCTGAGTGGGAAAAAGACATTCACAAACCATGATAAGGGGTTAAAGCCAAATTATATAAAGAACTCATACAACCCAACATCCATAAAACAAATAATCCAAATAAATAAATGGTAAAGCACCTGAATAAATATTTTTCCAAAGATAAAAAAATGGCCATCAGGTCCATGAAAAAGTGCTCAACATCACTAATGATCAAGGAAATGCAAATCAAAACCACAACAGGATCTTAAAATTAGAGGGAAAGTTCCCAGTTTTAATACAAAGAACTTTTTTCCCCTGGGGAAAAAAAATACAATATCACCTCATACCTGGTAGAATGATTATAAAAAAAGATCAGAGATAATAGAATGCTGGTGAGGATGTGGAGAAAAGGGACCCCTCGTGCACTGTTGGTGGGAATGTAAACTGGTACAGCCACTATAGAAAACAGTATGGAGATTCCTCAAAAAATTAAAGATAGAATTAACATATGATCCAGCAATTCTGCTTATGGAAATACAGCTGAAGGAAATGAAAACACTATGTCCAAGAGATATTTGCATCCCCTTGATTAAGGCAGCAGTATTTACAATTATCGAGACACGAAAACCACCTCAGTGTCCACTGATGCATAAATGGTTAAAGAAGTTGTGGTACATAAATACAATAGAATATTACTCAGCTACAAAAAAATAAGGAAACCCTACCATTTGCAACCACGCTGATGACCTGGAAGGCATTACGCTAAGGGAAACAAGTCATACAGAAAAAGACAAATCTAGTATGATCTCACTTATTTGTGGAATCTTAAAAAAAAAATCATAGAAAAGAAATATTTGTGGTTGCCAGAGGTGGAGGATGAGGAGGGGGAGAACTAATTAATGGTGATCAAATTACATAAGGAATTCATATGACACCAAAAAAGCAATCTGATTAAAAATGGGCAGAGGACTCGAATAGAAATTTCCCCCAATGTCACATACAGATGGCCAACAGACACATGACATCACTAATAATCAGGGAAATGCGAATTAAAACCACGATGAGACATCGCCTCACACCTGTCAGAATGGCTATCATCAATAAACAAACAAATAACAAGTGCTGGTGAGGATGTGGAGAAAAGGGGACCATCGTTCACTGTTGTTGGGATGGTAAATTGATGCAGCCGCTACGGAAAACAGCATGGAGGATCCTCAAAAATTAAAAATACAGCTACCATACAATCCAGAAATTCTACTCTTGGGTATTTATCCGAAGAAAACAAAAGCATGAATTCAAAAAGATATATGCACCCGTATGTTCACTGCAGCATTATTTACAAGAGCCAAGAGATGGAAGCAACATAGATGTCCATCGACAGATAAATGGATAAAGATGATGATGATGTGTGTGTGTGTGTGTGTGTGTGTGTGTGTGTGTGTGGGTGTGTGTCAGCCATAAAAAAGAATAAAATCTTATCTCTTGCAACAACATGGATAGACCTAGAGGATATTATGCCAAGTGAAATAAATCAGACAGAAAGAGAAATACCATAATTTCACTTATATGTGGAATCTGGAAAAAAAAAAAAAAAGAATAAATGGAACTAAATACGCCCACAGATAAAAGTGAAGTTGATGGCTGCCAAAGGGAAAAGGATAAAGGATGGGAATTTAAAAACAATTAACATTGTAGAAAATTGAATCAGAGACAGAAAAAAACCAAAATTCTTAAAAAAAAATTCATGACCTTTTATTCCATTCCTTTACTCTCCCAGTTATCAAAACTAGTATCTTCAAATACAAATATCTTTTTGCAGAAAAAGTGTTGCTACTTATTTTCAAATTGCTGTCACTTATATAGAAATTTATATCCCCAATGGCAGTGCATAAGAATGATTGTCGCATGTTAGTCCTCTAGCCCTTAATACTATCTTGAAATATTTGCACTTTTCATTGTTACGCATTTCTTATTTTTGCTTTGATTTTTTTTATTACTAATGACTTTAGATTCCCCCCCATTTATGTATATTACACATATCTCTATCTAGAGTGTTCATCTTTTAAAAATTATTCACGATAGTATACTCCGATATTTTTACTAAATATCACATATATGCTATTTTGCTTTGTTGCTAGTTCAATTTTAGATGGTCTTTACAATTAACAACAAGAAAGGCATTGTTCTTTCTCCCGCAATTTCACAAGCTAAAAAAAAAAAAAAAAATCAATTTAAAGTTTTAGGCTGAGGCAAAGGTTACGCCTAGAAAAGTTACACCAACCCCCGCCCCCAACCAGGTGATGGCACCTGGGGACTCCTCTTCCTGCAGCAAATGTCCTATCAGCAAGTGATCCAGAAATAAGAAGTGCAGATCTTGATCGGCAGCCTCTCTGATTCAAACATTTCCTAAGTAACTCAGGATTTTTTGTTGTGTTTTGATTCTGGCTTTTTTACATACTCCTGTGATCCTGGTCTACAGTGTTCAAATGTGGAGCCGCCACCATCCGTCCGAGAGTATGTCACATCTTCACACACCGTTTGTTTCCAGGCATTTTGGTGTTGGCAGCCCTCTTTGTTAGCACAAAAATTCTGCTCGGATGTGTTTTCACTTACATACATGTTACCGCTGATGAGAACAAAACTGTCTATCACAGCTGCTAAACAATCGGTCGCTGAATGACTCTGCAAATGCAGCTTCCACACGGGTGTGGTGTACAGTGTGCAGATTTACACAAGTTCTCTGGCATCACTGAAATCCCTTAGAAGAATGCTTTGCTATGAGCCGATTTCCTGCAGTGACAAGAAACTCGAGTTTTTTTTTTCTCTCTCCCACTGCACAGCTCTTGACTACCAGCCATGGGCAGAAGTCATCATTTCTTCAGCTGAGAAACGCTGCTTTCCAAAAACCTTTGGCAGAAGCTCCCGGAGATTTGTTTTTCTCCTCCTTCCTAATTTAGCAACAGTCTTCAAAGAAAAAAAATAAAATAAAACTGACAAACCAACGTGAGAAGAAACTAACTTTAATTTTGCATTTTTTTCATGAGAAGTTTCAGGGTTTATCATCTACAACCAATAAAAGTGGACAAGATTAATTTTGGGAAAAAGAGTAAACAAAAATGTGTATACACCCCAAAGTCAGATTGTTCTGTATTCAGGAGGCAACACGTTGTGCAAATTCAAGATTTTATTAAAATCGTATGTGAAGAAAGTTAACATAATATCTCAGTGGCGAAGGAAAATTTTTAATAAGGCGAAAGAATGAATTACATGAATAAACAGAAGCGTGAACAGTGCTGTGACATTTAAACGATTACGTGATTTTAATTATGCTTTTGATAAGCAGCGACTTTACGAGCATCTATTCAAGGAGCTGAAATCAGTGCCTACTACGGAATTAGCAGTTGAATCAGAGCTTTGTTTCCTGCCTTTGGTAATTTTTAAGGTAAGAAAGGGTTTTTAAAACTTATAAAAATCTACTACCTACCAAAAGAAATTAAAAGATAAAAATTGGTAAGCAGTAGGAAGAAAAATATGAAAAGAAACACATGCACTCACACACACTCAGAGATACACACTGTACAGTTGACCCTTGAACAATGTGAGGGTTGGGGTGCCGCCCCCTTACACAGTTGAAAATCCACATATAACCTGACACCCCAAAACTTTACTACTGATAGCCTCCTGTCTATTAACGTAAACAGTCTATTAACACCTATTTTGTATGTTATACATATTATATACTGTATTCTTATACCAAAGTTAGAGAAAAGAAAATCTTAAGAGAATCATTAGGAAAATACATTTGCAGAATTTATTGAAGAAAATCTGCATATAATGGACCCGCTCAGTTCAAACCCAAGTTGCTCAAGGGTCAACCATAACTGATCGTGGGACAGAGCAAGAGAACAGAAGTAATAACGAGCGAAGTGACCGGAAGTCCAGCCCATGCCAACCCCTCATTTGTTCTTGGCTGTCAGAGGCTTCCGGCTGATCTTTTTCGTTTTGTCATTATTTTTCTTCGGCGGTTCTGGATTTGCCTGCATGTGTCTGCCGTAGAGACTGAAAAGAGAGAGGGAGAAACCGTGAGATGTACCTTAACTAACACAGGTCAAGCTTCATCGGTAGAGATTTAAATAACAGATTCATGTCCAGGAATATTCGGTAAGCCACAGAAGACCAATACATCACTTCTGCTTTCTCTGGGTCATACACTGTGCTTTAGAATTAAAGATTCTCTTACAAACACACACACAACGCTCCATGAGGTCCAATTCTGGACAAGTCTCTTGGAATTTCACACTCCTTGGGCAGGTTGTGAAAACAGCAGAGAGGTTCAGGACTGTGAGGACTGACCATGCTCAGAACAGCCGCTCCAGACTGCAGCTCCAAAGGCTGGGAGTGTTTAAGTCGACAGTGACAAAAATTGGGTCGAACTGAAGAGATAGAGTGTCCACTTAGTGAAAAGTGAGCATCATGCCTGGCCTAAAAGCCCAGGGGCTGGATAATGTGACAGAGAGCAATGGCGTCCAAACTCACGCTGGCTTCTCACCCATGATTGATAGTGCTGGGGTGGCGACCACACATCAATGTCATGTTAATAAGTACCGCTGATTAAATGTTGACAAAGTGTCCTACGATTAAGGCCGATGGCATTCATCGCAGAGCAAACTAGCTCCGTGGCTGAGAGGATTGAACTGAACAGCACATAGTAATTAATCGAAAATTTATGAGTAATTCTGATTAAACTAAATTAAAAGCTACCCTAAAATAAATCCGGCTCAACCTCAACTCCCCTTATTGATATAATTGTGTCCCCACGAGAGCCTGGTAGGTATCTCAGTTTCCACAGAGAAGAGGCACTGTCCGACTCCGCCTGTTGCAACCGCGTTGTGCCAAATGAACAAGGGTCGACATGAAGACAGACCCCTCTCCAGGAGGTGTCCCTTGCCCTAAGGTCCGCTCGGGAGTCAACGCCCTCTCCCGGTGTCTGCATTTTGCCAGGTGCACGGTGCGGCACTGCTTGGCATGTACTGATGCTCCCACTGACACCGGGGTGGACGGGCTGAGGGCTGGACCTGGCACACAGAGTTGGCCAACTGACTGAGAGCTTAGGGAAAGCTGGACACTAGGGTTTTGATAGGTCGTCCTGTGCTCGATCTTCTCCAGAGGCTTCCAGGCGTCTCCTCAGAAGGGCCTGAGCAGGTTCCACCAGCAGTGACCATGAAGATGGGTGTCTGCGTCCCAGGAGTTTGAAACACAGAGTCTGACTCGCAGCAGACAACCCGTGAGCTGGAGAACGCACATGCAACCAGGTACTGGGCCTGCTCAACGCGTAAAGGGGAGGGCCACCTCTTGGGTCAAGGAGGTACCACGTGTCCCAGACAGGTTACATCAGAGCCTGCAGGTTAGCTTTCAGTTCTGTACGCTGGCTTACAATTTTTGCTAATCTAATGGAGAGAGAGGTGTAGGCCCACCCAGCTTGACCGTGGACCACCCTGTGCCCCCACAGGAAAAACGCCTCCTCCCTCGAGAAAGCCTGCTACTCAGGAAAATGGGTCTTTAAACCCACACAGCCGCCTCCTCCCACATTTTAAAAAGTGCCACTTTTCCCGGAAGTCCCTGTCATGGACGCCCAGGGCCCTGGATCCAAGGTAAAGAACCATTGGTTTGGCACAGGAAAGTCCAGCCATTCCTGCCTCACTGCTGTGGCTGCTCAACCCCAGGGACATTCCTGTCCCAATCACTTCACCTGGCGAGAGGGAGTCTGCAGTGGTGACTAACTTAAGGATTTTGAGATGGGAAGATTACCCTGCATGATCTCAGGACAGGATCCAACCTGCGTGTTCCCTTCCATCGCCCCCCCCCCCAATCGTCTCCCCCAGGCACGTGACACAGCCGGGGGAACGCTGAGCCACAGCGGACTCGGAAGCTGTATTCCTCACCTCTATCACACTCTCCGAAACCCTCGCCCTCCCCAGCCCTGCCCTTCTCCTCCCAGGGCGCCCCTCCCCAAGCCAGGGGCTTAGTGGGACAGTGGGACATGCCCCTGAGGGGGCGCCCTGGTCTCCAGGCTCCTCCCACTTGGCAGTGAGTCTGTGCTGCATTCACAGGGCCCTAGGGTCTTCAGTTACACAGTTTCCTTAAAGCTTCCCATTTCTCTCTTCTCTCCAAGCCCTTATCCCCCAAAGGGAAAAAACATACATGTTCTGTCTCACAGACATCGTCAACCTGTGAAGACTACGAAAATATGCAGAAATACAACACCGTGGTTCACGCACGTGGAACCCCAAAGTGGTATCAACAAAAACGAGGTCGGAGGAAGGAGAAGGGCCTGATACGCACCCCGTCTGGAGCAGGCAAGCATGGAAGCTTCCCGCAAGGGGTAGAGGTTACCTGGGCCCTGACGGTGATGATGCTCTAGCAAGGTCCTTTCAGAAGGGGTGCAAAAGCCAGCAAGGCTCCTCTTTTGAGGAAGGAAACAAAATGTTCCAATGTTTCCATTCCTGCCTTTTTATATGCAGACCTCGCTGTGTGCCTGAACTTCCCGGGGGCTACACAGCAGGTCACTGGAAGGGGCCAGAGGGACAGCAGTCCTGGACTTGCTATTTATATCCTGGCTTTTCCACTTACTAGTTGTTCACTCTGGGCAAATGATGAGCATTCCTCACCCTCACCGTGCCTCAGTTTCTCTATCTGTAAGAAACAATGTGGTTTTCCTCATAGGGTGGCAGCAGTGGTTAAATAAGCCGGCACCATGGCCAACCTATTGCAAGTGGCCAGCAATTAATCAGAGTGATTACAGATAATTATGTGATGATTCTTTTACTTCTTTAGGGCTTTTTCTTCTGAAAAAAAAAAAAAAAATGACATGGTATTTTCTATCAATGCCAAATCCCCAAGCATCTCTGGAAGAAAGGTTTCCATCCTCTTTGAAGAAAGAACTAAGGCAGAGCTAAACGCAGCACCTCACTTCCGTGGTGAGTCACCACAGAGCCAGGGTGACACTGCCCTTCTTTCTGTGCGTGATCCTTTTGCTCCTACAGCTGTGTGGGCAGATGCAAGTCGGCACTTTACTAAGCGGCCGTTCCCATGTGGAGACGTCGCTGTGCCAGAGAGGTAAGGACAAGCGTCTCCATTCCTGGCTCTCCCAGTGATTAGCCAGGGGGCCTCCATTTTAAGAGGGGCAGGCAGAATACTGGCCCCTCAAATGTCTCCATCCTAATCCTTGAAACCCGTGAATATACTACATTGCAAAAGGGACTTTGCAGAGGTAATAAAGTTAAGGATCTTGAGCTGGAAAGATTAACCTGGACTGGCCAGGCAGGCCTAGTGTAATCACACAGGTCCTTATCGGAGGGAGGCAGGGGCGTGTCTGAGTCAGAGGGACATCTGAACCTGCTACCCTGCTGGCTTCAAAGATGGAGGAAGGGGCTGCCAGCCAAGGAACGCAGGTAGCTTCCAGAAGACAGAAAGGCAAGGAGATGCACTTTCCCCTAGAGCCTGCAGAGGGAGCAAGCTTGAGGACACCGTGACCTCAAGACTGTAAGATAATACATTTGTTTTGTTTCAGCCACCAAGTTCATGGTAATTTATTACAGCAACAATAGGAAACTCATACGGTAAGTGAACCTCAACCTCGCTGGGCTGTACACATAGCAGCCTATCAGGAAGATTCTGCTTCATTTCAGCAG